TGTCTTTCTCAAAACATTACAGCTTTAAACAGGGTAAATGAGAGCTTTGAGACTGGACCATACAATAAATGTGCTGTAAAACCAAAACATGAGCTAAAAGAGACAAAAAAGCTTTGAGCTGTAGATTTGGGTGTGGGTATTTCACTGAAAGCAATCCCTTACACATTATTATTAGATTCAGTATAAAAAATACCATTTATACGTTTTTTAACTATGCTTTAGTTGCTATGACCGAACATTGCTGGAAAATTTAAAACATTGTGAGTGAGATTGAGCAAAAACCATACATGTTTTCCATATGCTAAATATCTGGCCATTTAATTTCTTACGAGAAACTATTTGACTTACACACTCTGATGTATGCACAACATATGAACACCTATAGTGATTTCCTGGACAGTAATATTCTTAATACACATCCAAAATCATGGAGGGTGAGGCTAAAAGGCCTTAAATCTCATCCACAATTGATTATGGGCATCGAACTCAGTGTACATTAATTCAGTTTACTGCCATTAAAAGAAGAAGAATGCTTGGGCTTGCAAATGGCAAACTACGACTGTCAACGGCATGATGTATGGTAGCTTATTATATTCCCCTCATTATGATTAATAACATAGGAAGGAATCCTCCATTCTTGTCGAGATGGAAAATGTAATTAGCCGCCTTGGCTGGCGTTGCAGCCAGGCCTCCCCTTGGCTGCTCCCTTCCTCAACATAAAACACCCAGTTTACAGTGGGAGACGCAGCATCTAGTGAATGAAAACCTGCAGCCGATTACACATCATATGCACCCCTTTTTTTCTATTTTCCCCAAGTCCTTTTCTCTGATCAAGATGCTGTAAATCTCTTTATTTCTGGTCCTGTGTAATTGTTTGGGCTGGAGCATTTGCCAAATGGGATGTACTCATGATTCTAAGCTGACATGAACACACATTTGTTCCATTCATCTTCATAAGAGGTAGCAAGAAATATAAAACTGCCAATTTATTTAAGAAAAGTGTCTGTTGAGTGAGTAAAAAACACCTTTTTGTTGATTTTTTTTTCATATTTGTGATTGCGCACCTAATGATGATCACACACCGGAGGTCACAGTTTACCCATATTTGTATTTACCTCTGGGCAGAGGTGTGCAAGGGGTGAGCGGAGGAGGGTTGGAGGGGGGTGACGGTGGTGGTGGAAGTGAGTAATGGCGAAGAGCAATGGGAGGGCATTCTCATCATTTCTTGCCGCTGCACCTGCAATCAGCACCTATGAGACTGATCGTGCTAAACATCAATTAATGCAGTGATATCCTCACGGAGACCTCGCCTTGCTCTCACCTGGACTCACAGCAGCAGCTTTCTGAATACAGTAATGACTGTGATCAACCAAGAGACACTGATGGAAGATGGTGTTTTAGTGCTGTGCTCTGCTCTCATTTAGCCTGTTCTCTTATCCAGGGTGTAGTACAAAAGATGTGATAACACATTTCATTGACTTCATAGCTTGATGGAAATCTTCAAGTATATGAGGGTGGAAACCAAGAAAAATGGGCAGTAGGCAAGACATTTTTATGAATCTCTTTTTTTTATTTTCAACATAAATAAAAGAGGTCAAACACATGTTAAAGGCCACTAAACAATGACAGATCTGATGTCAATTCAAAAACAAACATCTGTTGCAATGTTATAAAATAAAGATATCTAACATAATCTCATTAGAAAAAATAACTACTTTGGAGAAAAAAGCTGACCTTGTCATTGCCAATTGAAAGGAAGACAGAGAAATCTCTCAGTTTGAAATCATTGCTGTGGTTGATAACAATAACAATGGTCAAATTACTTAATGTACTTACTAAATTATCTTCAAACTAGTTTAAAGACAGTGCAGTCCAATGGAAAATGAGCATAATCAGATTACATGTTGGAGCTGGTGAATCCAAATGGTTTAAGTGGATGATTACAGTTTCAAGAAGGTATTCATTACTCGATCACAGATTGAAAGAAACAACACTGGTCCCTCCCATGATCTCGGCTCATGAGACCAGAGACTGTCCTGTCATCAAAATGTCACAGGTTTGATCCAACCTAAAGTTTTGTGAGATTGTCTTCCCCAGAAAAAGCAGCAGAATTTCTCGATTTTGAAATGCTTGAAACTTGAAAATGTATTTGTTATGCCGACTATTGCATTCATGCAAATATTCGCTGTTGTCTCTGAGAAGCAAAGACCTGCTGTTGTTCTAGAACAGTAAAACCTCTTAAGGAGGGGATCTTAGAAATTCTAACCCTAACTTTGACACCAAAGATGGCTGCTTGCATCCCATCTCTTACCAACAGTCAACATTGGTTCCTCACCACCGTGAGCACAATCTTTTCCAAACCTTGACCAAGTACTTTTACTTGCCTTAATTGAACCAACCATTTCATGTCGTATCATCTACATATATTGGAACTGATGTGCTCCCAATAGGGGCGTCCAATCATCTTGGTTGAACATCGATTATGTTCAATGTCAATTCCAACAACTCCATGATGTCTTTAAAAAAATTGTACTTTCTACAGTATTAATGGCGAGTGCAGTGTGGTTAAAGTCAGGGGAAAATTGTGGTTAGGGTTTGGCAACTGAAACACTTGGTTAAGGTTAGAGATACTGGACTGTTTGGAGGGTCATCTTAATATTTTGTCACGTAGCTATGAACCTCTTGTCATTTGGCCAGTAAGAGTGACACTGAACCCCTGTTTGAATTCTGTCTTGTTTTGGATGAAATGAAATAAGCCCTTGCTTGTGGGAAATGCAGCTTTCTTCAAATGAGAAACAAACAGCTAACGGTTTGAGTTAAGCTTTGTAGAATCACTCCAATATGTGGCCAGTACATCGTAAGATAAGTTCCTGTGGTTTCACTGCCAGTGTTAGCATGCTCAACAATGAGACACAACAATGCAAAGTAAGCCAAATAGCTTTATTCAGAATAGTTAGAACAGTTCATTTTCAGGGAGACTCAGACATAAGACAATTTATTTGTCATTGTAGCCATACAACGAAATTTAGCTGGGTCACTGTCAGTCACCAGAAGCATCAATAATTTAGTCACACTGGCTCATACTCTAAGTGCAACTGAAATGTGTTTGATACAACAACACCTTATGTTGTTGCTCTGCTCCTGGGTGACATTGACAGCTTGTACTGGAGTCAGAAACAGATCACATCCAAAAATAGATACGAACAAACAACCAAATACGAATAAAATCTGACACAAGCAGCAATTAGAAACTGAGCACCAAGTCCTGCGGTGTGAACATTACTGCACTTAACACCTTGCTGCCTCTGCAATCACATCTGCCCTTATTGGCCTGGATTCAACCCCCATCAGCCCCCACTGCACCGTCTCTCCCTCTCAGCCTTCCTACAGCCTCAATAAAGAAAATATAAAGTGTGTGTGCGTGGACTGACCAGCTCTCCTATTAGAGGAAGGGAAGAAAAACACCAACAGCAATCGACTAACAGCAACTGGAGATGGCGGGCTCTCATCCATCACTCTGCATGTTCGTGGACGCCATATGAAAACACAAACAAGCAATCAATTGTTTTGCGCACAGCTTGGGGCCTCCTAATAGAGCACATTTATCTGACGCCGCGGTGGTAGCCCCAGCAATACTTTAATTTGTGAGACATTATGTTGAGTTAATGCCTACCAGGTTGCCGTTCAACCAGGGGGACTTGGCACATTTGGCGGCGCTGTAAACGCCGGCATCTTGCTGTATTGTACTGGGACATGGTGATGTAAATGATCTCACCCGCTGTATCTTTAATGGGTTGTGAAATGAATTTATGTGGGAATATTTGCAGAGGAATATTGCATTGTATCATGGCGTAATTAGAGAGCAGGAACTGCACTGCCCCGTACAGAAGCTGCTGTACGACGGTCGGTTTTCTGTTTGTCCTTCGACCGCCCCTGTGATTGGATGAGAGAGAGCCTGGTGGAGAGAGAGGGAGAGAGAGAGAGAGAGGGCTGGAAATGGAGAGAAAGGGAGGGAAGCCAGGCTCTCCAATAATGATGCGCCCTCAGGCTTAATGTGCCATCTCTCTCTCTCTCTCTCTCTCTCTCTCTCTCTCTCTCTCTCCTTGGTCTGGTCTAGTAAAACACACACACACACACACACACACACACACACACACACACACACACACACACACACACACACAGTACATCCCTCAGATGTGTACGATGCCAATAAAGAGTTCATTTACAAAAGCCTGTTTTTCCTTCATGTTAAAAATAAATTCAAACTCATTATTTGATTTCTGGAACATGAACGAGGATCCAGTCTATAAAGGGGTTTTTCATTTTTTCAATCAAGGAATTAAATGACCTAAAAACAAGCAGAATTTGTGATGTTGAATTTTGAGCCATAGCCGGGTTGTAGCTTTAGTGAAGGATGAATACCCCCCAAAAAAGGGGTATAGTTTCTGAAAATATAATTATTGCCCCTTTGTCTTATCATGATCAACAACTTCAGGTCACACCACTACAGTCCTGCTGCCCATGTTCACGTTTTCCATGTTATCCATTGCATCAAATGACAAGCTATGAAGCCTGGTGTCTGAATCTAGTAGGTTCTGTTTCCTGAAGCATAAACGACCTGCTGCTACATACGGTCAGCACTGCTTTCATTTAGAAAGGGCTTAAAAAGGCTGCTCCCTTCTTGTCTTTAACTCTCCTCCAGTCTCTCTCTTTATTCAATCTTTTTTAAATAAAAGAAGATGGTGGTGGTAATGAAAAGGGAGACAGACTTGGTGATCATCATTAAAAACATAACTCTATAATCATAAATGCCTGTGTTTTAGAAAATCACCCAGTTTGTGATGGTTTGATGCTTCTTCGTATAATCTGGCTGCATGATTATGATCTATGAATTTGGCTCTGCAAGTCTCTTGGCCCTTAAAGGAGATTAAAATGTATGACCTGCAGCCGCTCATCATCACAACCTAAATAATAACCCATACAAAAATCACCCAAGCTATTTTCAGAAAATTATTTATTTGTATTTTTTTCCACCGCCAATAGGATAAAATGAAACATAATTGATCCCCATGGAGAATAGAGGTTGTTGCTGCAACAAATTAAAACAGAACACATAAGAACAATACAAAAAAGTAACTGTAAAAGTAGGCAGAAAAAGAAAGAAGAAATAAAAGTGGTGCAAATAAATATATGTAAATAAATACAGAGGTAAGGTCAGATACAATTGAACACAACAATGACGTATAATATGAATCAATGGAAGTATCAAGAAAATGAACAGAACATGATGCTGCTGAGGGATAAAATTTGCCTCTTCATTAATGAACATATTAATAAATACTAAACGATAGATTTATGTCAGCTAACCCATAGAGACAGGAGTGGGTTTAGCCTCCATAACATCCCAGGATATCATATCATTCATGTGCACTTTTATTTGGAGGCAGATGTCACCCTTCTCCCTCCTCCTCCAGATACGCCCCGGGGCCAGTCTCCTGCCCGCTGCCCGGGGCTGGGGAGGCTGAGCTCGGCCTGACAGGCGGCTGGTGGCTCTTCAATGCGGCGGAGGAAATTAAATTACCGCTCCTGTTGCTTGCTTTGTAAACAAGACAAAAGCCAATGATACGGCCAATTACACTTAAATCCGACGCATGTGTACAACAGGCTCTCAGAGAGGGTCGGTGGAATCAGGGATGGAGAGGAGGACGAACAGACTATACAGCCAGTTTTAATTTTTATTTGTCCTGTAGAGATTTGACACAGTTTTATGTCCATGTGATTTATTTTTAATTTTATTTAAGAATATTTTTAAATTTATAAAAGCAGTTTGCACAAACCTGGTGCGGCCTGAGAGCAAATAAGATGTTTATAAATGTAAAATTGTATAAAAACATAAATATAAATACTTTATGATCACCAAATATTTTGCCTTGAGTGGCACATCAAATGTTTAAATTGACTATACAAAAATATACATTATCCCATGAAATATTATTTTTGAATTATTAAAGGAGAGAAATTATCTATTACAAGAGGCTGTGTAACACCACCATGGGTTGTTAAAAAGACCTACAGTGTATTTACATTTAGTAACAAAGCAGGAAGTTCTCCTAAATAACTGAACATCTCCTTTGCAGTGGTGCATCTCGCAGCACTTGTGCAGCCCTGGACGAAACGGATGGTTTTTGAGACTCCTGCAGACAAAAGAGAAATGCATATTAAAATCTATGAAGGCTAGTTTGTAGCTTGTATTGATTGGTTAAAGAGTATTGATTGAGAAAATATGAATGGCTTTATTACTGACATAATTGATTTAGTTCAATTGATCTGTTGCAAAAATTACAGTTAGAATTTATATCTTGTAATTTTAGAGATAATAACAACAACTATAATAATAATAATAATAATAATAGTAGTAATAGTAGTAGTAGTAGTAGTAGTAGTAATAATAATAATAATAATAATAATAATAATAATAATAATAATGAATATATTTTCAGTGCCAAAACTGACAGATTACATTGACAGTCGCCAGTTTGAATCCACAGAATAATCTGAATCCGTTACCCCAGTCCTTTTTTTTCTCCCAAAATCCTCCACAAACTCTGCCCTCACAGTCTCACAATAAAGCCCCGATGAAAATGGCGATCAGAGTAAATAAAATAGATGGTCTTTATCAAAGTAAATTAGATTCAACTAAATAGTTCACCGGAGGGGCAGAGCAGTTCCTGTAATTCACTTTAAGGTTCACCAACTTACTCAATAAAGCCCTGGCTAGGAATCTGACGGATGTCTAATCGATAGGTTTATCTGAGGCAAACAGCTGGGAAGAGCAAAATGAATCGGTTTGCATTAAAAGGGAAAAGAGGAAAAGGTAAAGTCGAGAAATCTGACGTCGAGTAATGAAATGACGGGTTTTATTTTACCTTTTTGTGTCGATTTTCCTCCCAAATGGACTGAACTCACAGGGAGGAAAAGTTAGCGATGAAATAATATTTGTCTTTTTTTCTTTTTAATTATTATTATTTATTTATTTATTTACCAATATAGATTAAGTTTGAACAACAAAAACAACAACAATAATTATAATATAAAGAGAAAAAAGAAGAATCAGATCAATACCTGATTAAACAGTACCTGTTCGTCCTGCAGCCTCTGAGGCCTCAGTAACGTTCAGTGCAGCAACATGACATCCCTCCATCCTCCCAGTCCCAAGCCTGCATTTCAGCGATTTCTCCTCTCTTTTTTCACTGTTTTTACTCCCCTCCTCCCCCTCCTCCTCCACTCCACCCCTCTCCTCCTTTCCACTCCGTCCAGTTTCGAGTCGTCTGATCCGGGCAGGAGGCGCCAGGTTTTCCCCTGAGGGGAGGCGAAGAGTCAAGGACTGAACCCTCCAAATGCAGAATAATGTAATTCTACACTCTCAATAAAAAGGGTTCCACAACGCAGAGTGCTTCCTTAGGGGTTTGTAGAACCGTACTCTATGAGCAGAAAGGATCCTGGAGGCTACAGAAAGGGGGTTCTTCTTCCACCACAGAACCCTGATTGTTGTGCACTCTCAAGAAAAGAGGTTCCACAGCGTAAATAATAGTTCTTTATAGGTTTGCAGCATGCAGGGAGTCGCTGGTGATTATGTGTAAGGTGTTTTTTATGGCAGGAAAGACACGTTTTCTACTTTTTATACAAGGTTGGTCATCACAGCAAGTGGTTATGATTTATAATATTGCATTCAGACACTCAACACTCAGTTTATTCAGTATTGGGGACATGATGATATCACAGTTCATCAGGACAAGCAACAGAAATGTGCAGATGATCAGAGGTTTGAATAAAAGGTTGCAAATAAACTGCTGAAGTTACAACACAGTCTAAATGATTTTTTTGGAAGTGAAAATGAAAATGAATACATGAACACACCTTTAAAAACCTGTGTTGCAACAACAGTAAGTAGGTGAAGGTTTATAAAAGAGCTCTGCAAAATCAATCAGATGTTTAATGAGCAGTTTAAGTAATATCTTTTAGGTTGAATTTTAATTTTAAATGGTTTTCACTCCAAAATAAGTTACTAAACTCAATAATGACACACAGGTTTTTCCTGAACAAAATTTGATACCATCCACTACATTCTGAATGTATTTTTGTCTAAAAACGACACCACACGTCTTTATTTGATTGTCTCTGTTTTTCGCCATTAATATCAAGTTTAATCATTTTGATTATGGTTGGTAAAGTTTTAATCGCAGCTGTGGTTAACTTCAGAAAGCCCAGACTGCAGAGTCCATGCTCCTTTTCATAAATTTCACCTAGCACCAAATGGTTAAAAGGACCTCATTCAGATTCTGACTGGTACAGTTAATGTCCAGTTCAGTGAGTGCAAACTTGTTGAGGTAGAAGACGTTTTCAAGAAATACACAAATGTTTTAGGCCGCTCTGCCCTCATCAGTGTTGTGAAAGTGTTTGGGAATAAACATATGGGCATAAGGGAAAACTGTTGTGCAAGGAGAGAGATTTACTTATGTCTGTTTACAAGGATGTTTAGGCAACCATGGAGTCCACACTCTCAGTAAAAAGGTGTGCAGAACCACAAAATGGTTCTTGCATCATAAGAAGCAGAGTGTTGGCACTGAAGAACTACTTGGTTCTGTAGAATTCTACTGTACTGGTACCGTGGAGAACCTCAGTGATTGTACATTTAATGAAAATACTTTAACTTTAACACTTTTTAAACACTTTTAGTGCCTAAACAACCACAACGTGACTCGTCAGAATTTTTCTTTATTTGAGGCTGTTATGATGTGGTGGTGATTTTATACTGCCATGGTTGTACATAATAGCAAAGCTCTGTAATAGACGTAAGGATGTAACGATCACTGAAGACACTGAGGTTATATCCTTGCTATTTTCGCTGGGAATTCTGGGTATTTGATCATCCTGGGGCCAATATTTCGAACAATTAACATATGTAGTTTGTCTATTTTTGGACTTAATAATAGGTCAAAAATAATAAATAATAAAGTATTTCCCCACCAGAATCTTTAATAAATAAGAAATAACTGAACCACAAATTCAACAGTTAAGTTTATGAACAAAAACATGAAAAATCTAAACCTGGAATACACGTGAGTGTTTGAAGGGTGGGGGGCAGTGTGGGTACTTGGCCTCAGTATGATGTTCAATGCTACAGCAGAATGCTGGAGAACAAATACATAAGTGATGATGAAGACTAAAAATTGAGAACCACATTTGTTGTCACAAAGACAAGAGTTCAGCTACTGGAGTTTACAGGTTGAACAAGCCCCCATCCCTGATCACTGAACCCTGTTTTTTCTGGGTGTATCCTCTGAAATTCAACCTAATAGCAGCAGAGAGCCAAACAGGGCCTGGGAGGGAGGAGGATGACAGGCTTCGTCAAACTAATATCCGACATCCTTGATTGCAGAGGCAGCTTTTTCCCCCCTCCCCAGGTCTGGGATCATTTCAGCTGTCAATTTAAATGCGTCCGTTATCGGACAACTTAGCGGCTAGACATCCATTATCGGACCCCCCTACTGTCTGGTGTGTTTTTTGGTGCCCTTTTTTCTGTGAAAAATTTAGCCAAGACTACACAAACAACCAGTTGACAGCATGTAAAGGAGTTTAACCATGCCTGTCAGTTTTGTGGATACTAACGTTCATATTTTTGATTAAATGTCAGTTCTTTCTCCTTTTCAGGCCAACTCTTTTGTCATCAAGTAGCATTTTCAAAAATAGTATAATTCATTAAACATTGTCCGTTGATGGAACTAGGTTGATTTTTGCATCATTGTACACAGCTGTACACATGTTACACAGATAGGAAACACATCATCATCTCTTTTTACAGAAACAATTAGTGAACACCAAGTCCAAGGAAGCATTTTCTATGATGAACTGTGGAAAAAACCCCAATGACCAATAACAAAGAAGCTTTACACAAACTAATGACACAAAACAACGTCTAACAATATTAACAACATTAACAGCAACAGCAGTAACAGGCTTAATCATCTTCATAATGATAATATACTGTAAGGAACCCAGTGGTGGAGAGTATATTTACTCATGCATTAAGTACAATTTTGAGGTAGGCCTGCTTGTACTTTGCTTTGGTCTTTCCTTAAGATGCCAATTATGCCATTTTTACTATTCTGGAAAATATTGTACTTTTTGTCCCGTTCATATGACAGCTGTAGTTACTCATTACTTTGCAGAATAAGAGCATGATCATCTTATATGGTATTATAACTACCCAAATACCCAACAGTATAGTTAGAAATTGGCCCATCCCAATTAGTAAGAACACTGAAATACTGCTCACACATCAATGCTAACAACAACAACAACAACAACAACAACAACAATAATAATAATAGTAATAATAATAATAATAATAATAACATAATATAATAATAATAATAATAATAATAATACAATAATAATATAATCATAATCGTAATCATAATAATTGTAATAATACAATTATATAAATAGTAATAATACAATATTTAGAGAGGGAGTATTTTGCATGAGTATGCTTCTTTTACTTCTGATACTGGAGTATTTTACTCTGGAGTATTTGTACTAGTAAACAATTGAAGAGCTCTTCCTACAGGCTACCTGTAAAAGCTATAGTACGACATTCAGTTCAATGGATAAACTGCCTCTGTTGTATCTGTGTGTCTCTAATGTATATTATTTTAATTACTTAAAACATCTTTAGGATAAACATAAATATTCTGTCAGCCTATGCCTTCATAATTAAATATCTAAATGTTGGTATCTTTTCAAGCTACTTTTATATAGTCAGGGATTCCTCTGATTGGTTGAGGGCGTTCGCGTTGCGCACCTGCGAGTCTGCGTAAAAGCTGATTCAGGCGCACTGCAGCCCTGCGCGTTCAAACTAGAAATAGCATTAAGTGATAGGTCCACTCCAATGAAACAAGAACTAATACTGCGCTATTTGTAGTCCTCTTTGTTTTTAAGTGGTCTCTTTCAGCGTCTAAACCGGCCTCTGCTGGCTCATTATTTAACTTTACATGCCCAACTTTCTCTTATTTTTTCTGCTCATTTTAATTTGGTTTGCAGGCCCCTGGACCCCCAGATGAAAGCTAAACCGACCGGTAGGTCGCTAATATATCGGGGAGGCAACTGTGACAAATTCCTTTTGTCTCCGCTTTGCTGGTACTTTATTACCCAGACGAGCAGCATGGCCTGGAGATAACGATTCATCACGCACAGCCGGCAACCATAGACAACGCCTTTGGGCAAAGTCAGCGAGGGGCTTTCATATTGAGAGAGAGGGAGAGGGTGTGTGTGTGCGTGTGTGTGTGAGTGAGAGAGAGAGAGAGGGAGGGAAGAGGGGGGTATACCTTAATTGGCAATGGGGTTTTATTGCATTAGTAAAATTGCTGATTACAATCCTGCACAGCATCATGTCACGTTTGCATTTAAACATATAGGCAGACCTCCTATTGGCCAATTTTATAACTGGTTTTATAGTGGCAGCCCATAATAAGTCAGGGATCTTTATTTAGATAATAATAATAATTTCAATTCCCTCATGTTTTTGCAGCTATAGCTTATTAGATAAAATTTTAATGATCCTCGTGGGAAAAGTGGGTCATTGCTGCAGCAGATAGAGAGATGTCTAAGAATAGAGCAAAAGTAGCCTAATGAAGATACTTCAACAAGCATTTAGAGCAGAACACAGGGAGCATTAGCAGTTCATACATCATAATAATAATATATCCAGAAACAGTGTTTGCCTTCTCAGACCAATATCAGATGTGCATGGGCATCAATGGGGAAAGATGTGGAGGGTTTTGTTATTAAAGGTGTTTAAATAATATTTTGGCTGAATATTATGCACTGAATTCACCTGTTGGGCTCTCTCTGGTGGTTATAACAAGATATTTACCAAAAAATGTGGGAAAAATGCAAAGGACTTTAATAAAATAAAAAATGAATATGAATGTTTCCTTTGTAGCTTCAATAAAAACACACACAATCATTTGGTCTCAGAAAACAGATCATATGATGAGAAATTTCATTAGGTATTGAAGGAGTTAAAGGTGACATATCAGTCTGAAGAGTCCCAAACTGCACATTAGAACTCAGACAACCTTTTATAATCATTTTAATTTCTTTATGCTGCATTATAACAGCAGCTCGTGGGAGCTAATTACAGTGAAGGGCCTAAATTGTTGAGAATAATGAAACAGAACACTTGGCGTCTTGTTGAGTAAGCTCTGGTTGTCAGGCTCAATAAAGAGAACCCTGATGTCGCTCCTGATGATTAGAGGTTTACAGTTTTACCATTGTGTTCAACATGTTGGCAAAGAGCCTCACACAGGCAGGGCTGAACTGAAGGTTTTAGCTGTAGCATAGGAATTTCCTGCTTGTGACATATGAGTTATAGTCAGTCATATGTCATCCAATAAAGCTGGGACATACACTTAGTGGAATATTTTGGAATTTCAGAATAAAATTGGCGAAAATGTAAACACATTAAATAATTTAATAAGTGTCTTAGTTTGGTCACATATGACCCACAACACATGATAGATAGATAGATAGCTAGATAGATAGATAGATAGATAGATAGATAGATAGATAGATAGATAGATAGATAGATAGATAGATTATTTTTTTGCTCATCAAAAATCACCACAATACATCTTCAAGTGGTTAGAGTTAATTTCTCTGTTCTCCCTGACTTAAGGTTGGCACAGTTAAAGAATAAAGGTGTAGGGAAGAAGTCATGAGTGTTGCTTAACCTGACCCAACTAACAATAATAGAGAATCACGCAACCCCAAACTAAAACTGATAAGAAACATCTCAAAAGGATGTTTTTGAGTCAGTCACAGTCTAACATGTGAACACTTTTGGGTCTTTGATATGGAAACGTTTTGGGAATCTCCTACATTCAAAAATAATAACAAGACAAGCCAGAACAACCTTGCAAAGTGTTCAAATCAACAGAATGTGTTTTCCAATCAGCTTAAAGTATTGTATTTATTCAGAATATATAGATATAAATATAAAAAGGTCATATTCTAATATTGTGACGCACAACCTGCACAGTCAAACAAGAGGAAAACGTAGAATTCCGACAATAAACACATTAAGAAAAAGGTCATATTAATTCAAATATACAGTGATACTGTGTAATAGGTCAAATGTTTGTTGTGCCAAAGCAGCCCTCAGCTCTCCATTAAACAGTGTGAACCAACCTTCTGACTGATCACTGAACATTCCCAGAGAAAGTATTGATATGACATCACTATGTTTAGTAACATCTCAAATGCTGGAGCTGACATGATAAAGTTTGGGAACCCCTGCGCTGGTGTGAATAAACATCCTGGTTGCACCTCATCGCATCCCTGCTGCTGACATCACCAACAACAGGGAGAGATGTGTTAACCCCAACAAGGCTCCCAAACACTATTTTCCGCCTTCCGGCCAATAGATCTTCCTGGTTTTGCATAAACGGCCAATTACCTTGTCAGTGAGCTGATCTGAGGCGCAGTGCATCCTCTCGTCCCTATTCATTTTATTGTAACGCGCAAATATAAACAGGCCTAATAGCAGCTACACTCGCACTGCTCTCGTCCCCGCGCCGTTATTGATATGGCCTCGAATTCACACAATTGATTTTTATGCTTCCCTCTAGCCACCTTGTGCAGTTGAGAGATATCTTTATTCGCACGGAAAGTGAAATAAGTGCGTAATAAAACGGTGATATATTAAATTCGTTTTTCCCCGTGTCGCGGTTTTATTATGAGCCATTTCTCATTTTTATTGAATTGAGACCCCGGCGATCCGCGCCGTCGCTTCGGGCGGAGAAAGGTTAAATAATTTGTGCAAATCAGCAAAGCTTCATGATGTGACTCCAGCTGCTATTTATTGCTTTTTATTTTGTTTAATTATCTATCTATCTATCTATCTATCTATCTATCTATCTATCTATCTATCTATCTATCTATCTGCCTGCCTGCCTGCCTGCCTGCCTGTCTGTCTATCTATCTATCTATCTATCTATCTATCTATCTATCTATCTATCTATCTATCTATCTATCTATCTGTCTGTCTGTCTGTTATTTGACTCCTGGGTCTGTATGCTGTTTCCCCATACAGGCTAAATATCGCTTACGGTCGGTTTACATTTCATTACTTTGTGATAATGCACGTTGGAGTGGGCCTATCAGTGGCTTTAAATCAGGCCTATACTAGTCTGCACGCTTCCCGTCAATATCAGAGGATTTATGGCTTCATTGTGTGTAACAGTGCAACAGATTATTGCCTCAGCACACACATATATCGCACATATATCTGGTCCAGTATTTGTTGCCTCTCGGATAGGACATAGTGTGCTGATGTAACCTGCCTTTAGAAATAAGGGTCAGTGCTCATAAGGCATATCGATCCGAATACTGGTGGTGCCTCAACTGGGGTACTCCAGCGGTCAATTGGATAAGTTCTGCGGGTCCTTCGTGGGTAAATGTGTGGCTGGTTTAATTGCACAGAAAAAAAAAAGACATGGTGATTGTTAACAGCCATGTTTGATTGCTGCCTCGAAAAACGAAGTGCTGCAGACCAGGGGCCTTCTCATGTAGTTCCCAAAGAAACTCCTATCATAGGGGATTCTCCAGGGGCCCCAATGTAAAGGCTATTGCATCACTTAGGGCTTTACATTTAAACATGTTTAATCAAATCTCCACAAAAGAGCCCACATAATATGAAAAATATCTAAATGAACTGAATATTTACAGTGACACACTTATAGTAAAAACCCAACAACAATTAGCCTAATTAATAAAAGTGGGGAAAAAACTAAAATGTCCTCTTATTCTCGTTAAAATCCATCTTTCTGACACCAGGAGGAACATCTTTCTTTTTCTGACTGCATTCTCTCAATGATTGATCTCGAATGAATGAATGCAATGATTTACTTTAGTATTTTCTAACGTGTAGACGCGAAACTGGTTTGGACACCGCTTGACCCGAGCCTTCAGCGCCACTAAAAGGCACAAACCCCCCCGTTTAATAGCAGAGAAAATACAGAAAGCTGCGGCTTCTTTAAGACATCCGAGCAAAACAACTGCCCTACCGAGGAGGAGGGAGAGCAGGGGAGGGAGGGAAGGAGGGAGGGAAAGAGAGATGGAGGGAGGGAGGTTCGGCTGGATGACCGAATGGCAGCTTTTACGCAGAGGGTTGTCTCACCTGCTGAAACGCACTTCACCATTCAGCACAACAGAGCCGTCTTTCGCGCTCACCTCCAATTAATATCCACGCCTGCGAGGTCGGCGCCTCGTTTTCGCCTCTTTTGGCTTTGTTTTGTTTTGTCTGTTGCTTTATTTTGACGCGACGGGCTTGGGTACACTACCGTGCCCTCTGCGTATGGATCGCCTCTGCCAGAGCAGGCGAACAAAGCGCATCGAGCCTCTCCAGAGAACTGCCTCCTCCAAAAAAAAAAAGAGCAAGGATTTTTGTCTGTAAGTACTCAGGATAACCATTTGGCATCTTCGATTGTTTTTTTCCCCCCTTGATGTTAGGCTGCCTTAATGTGTAGTTCGCTGGGAAAAGAACACACTGTTAAAGATGGATACGTTTCTTCTTATTAGCCCGATGGATAGGCATTTAATTTAGGGAACACCCGACCCCACTGCTGGACAAAAATGATGGCAAGATTTTGGATAGCGCTGGACACGTTGTTGGTTTCCTGGGAGTAGAACAGGCCCGTGTCGATGCTTGAAAACAGAAAACAGCCCAATAGTGCAGCACACATTCAAACATTTCATTCCCCAAGGCGTCACTTACTATATGACAAAAATATATCCGCGCGCTGAGAGAGCAAAAACACATCACCGATAAAAAAAAACAAAAACAACAAAACAACAATTATGGAGCACACCGGCATCGAGGAGGTGAACCAAACGCACCAGCAGCAGCATGAGCCCATCAGCTTCGGCATCGACCAGATCCTCAACAGCTCGGACCAGTCCAGCGGCTGCATGCTGCCCAACCGGACCGGCGACCCGGATTACGCGCTGGCCTCCAACGTCTACAGCAACGGGTACAACAGCGTCTACAACCCGGCCTGCTCCATGGCGGCGGCGGCGGGTCTGGCCGGCTCCTACAACGTCAACATGAACATGAACGTCAGCATGAACATGAACGTTAACGTGAACTCGGGCGGCGCCGGCGGGGTGATCCGGGTGCCGGCGCACAGACCCATGCCGCCTCCGCCTGCCGCCGCCGCCGCTGCGCCGCATCCGCCCCCTTCGACGCATCCGCCGGGCATCGGACACGGCATCCCTTCAGTGCCCGGGATGGGGATGGGAAATGCGTCGAACTTCACCTTCCCGTGGATGGAGAGCAGTAGGAGGTTTGCCAAGGACAGATTAACAGGTAAAGAGAGTTTAACACCTGTAGTGTGATTTAACAGATGTAGGCCAGGGGGACTGTATTCTCTACAGAGTGCCTTCATGCACCTTCACCTGCGTTTCAAAGAGCAGTAGCATCACCATATATCTTCCTCATGGCCTTACAGGTGTGAGATGTGATTTCTTTTTTTTCCTCTTTTTTTTATTTTTATTTTTACATTTGTGTTAAAGCTGGCCCTGAACGGTGTGCAGGCGGAAGTGGGCCCTAATAGCTCGACAGAGTGCAGCTGATTTCATCTTTAGGTTGTAATCTTTAAACAATTGTACATATATATATATATATATATAAATACACACACACGCACACACACAGAGTCAGTTTTATTACGCTGGAAGGGCAGTCTGATAAACGAGAGGAGAAATTGACATGGACATGCTGATGAATCAGTATTGGACCATCACTCTCCATTTACAGCGGATGACGGATAACGACGTTCCCCGTCTTTTCATGAGGATGAATGATTTTTTTTTTTTCGTCTCTGAGCCAGTTGAGAAAACAGGAAGATGAGTCATAATAGTAATAACATATGGCAGGTTAAAATCAGTGGATAATAACAGGTTATTATTATTATTATTATTATTATTATTATTATTATTATTATTATTATTTTTTATCATTATCATTATTATTGTGCATTCACCATGTAGTGTGGAATTGTTTTTACATATATATGACACATATTCCCTTAATGCAATGCCTCAATTATGTGTAGCTCTCAACATTTAATCTGCATAGTAACATGTAGTAAACTCTTCATTTGTTTCACTTTCACTGGACTTCAGGAGGTCAGACTGAGGTCTTTGTCAGCCCAGATTCTTTACAAACGTCTCACATGGATTAAACTGCTCCGTTTCTTCCTCTCTAAGATTGGGAATTTGGAGGAAAATAAAAAATCAGCAACTGATATTTGCTTTTCTTTTGCCGTGCTGCAATTAGTAACCATGACGCAGCAGTAATACAATAATAAAAAGCAATAGCAGCCCTGCAGACTCTAGGTAGATTTAGAGTTTATTTTTGGATTTAATAACCTTTAGGCTTTCTTTTTCCGATTCTTTGAAGATAACACACATAAAAACATAACAAGTGACTCATTTCTTTTTAATAATACAAACACATTTAAAAGCTAGAATGCTTTTTCACAAGTAAATCCAGCTCCACTGCTGTCCACAGTGCAAATAATCTGCGTTACATAATCCCAGATGAATTCTTACCTTGCTGCTCACATGATAACGTTTTGTCTTCGCTTCAAACGCCGTCCTGCACAGTTTATATGCACTCTATCATTATATAGTTATATAATCATTCATATGCCTTTGTTTCTCACCTGTAAAAACAAATAATAATTCCGTTTAAATCAAAAGGAGGCCTTTACGGCTTCAGACACAAAAAAGGTTTTTAATTAGTTACTAATTTATTTTTATATACACACACACAAAAAAAACACTGCACCGTTGCACTACTGTGTTAATTTTACCCAGCACCAGTGGGGAGAAAAGCAGCCCACAGAAGGGTTGTTTTGATCCACTAACCCAACAGTAATATAAAAATAACACCGACAATGGGCCAGAACTCCCCTTTGGTACTGGGGGTCAAGTCAACCCAGTATTGCGTCGGTGCTGTATTGCCTCCACACTGGTAGCTTTCAACCCAGTGTGTGTTTCAGTGAGCAGTGATGTCAAATGAAGCATTCCTGTTAAAGGGAGACGGTATTACTATAGCATAAATTAAAATGCAATTAAAACAATTATTCTGGAAGTTCTTGAGTGAAAATATGCTCTGAAATTAGACTTTATAGGACTATTATTCCCTGAATTCATTTAGTTTTAGGAGGTGGTTCCACTGCTTTCTTTTTTCATTTTTCTTTTTTTTTCCTTCTCATGACCTCATCCTTATGAAGATGAAAATGAAGAACATCATGGATTCGCGCAACACCCCCCCCACACACACACACACACACCTCTCCACGCATTAAATATTCACTATTCCGTTCTTTCTACCTGATTAATTATTAAATACTGGGGGACGATATGTCAACTGCAAAAAGATACAGTGTAAATAGGCTTATCAATTCTACTCATAGTCACAGAGGGCCTCTCGTTTAATTTCTCTCAGCTTTGTGTCGCTGTAATTATTTCGCAGCTTATATCTTTCCACTGTATTGATCAGCCAAAGATCGGCAGCAGCAGCAGCACACACACACACACACACACACACACACACACACACACACACACACACACACACACACACACACACAGGCACACGCTGTCCAGATTTAGCCTGCTCTGTTTCCTATAAAAGGCTGTAAATCAGATGGACTATCGTCTATCCTGATGGGCAGAGGAGCATTTTAAATGTTTCTCTCTGTCTCTTGTTTTTCTCTCCACTTTTTCAAGTTGAAACCAGAGGAGAAAAACGGCCTCGTGCAGCTTTAAACAGCCAAACATGTTGCCAAAGGCTTCAGCTCTGGCAGCCGTGGGAGGATTTTCTCTCTTTTTTTTTTTTTTTGCAGGGATGTAAACGAAACCTGTTTAACTGCACAATAGACATCTCTCATTTTTCACCTTGGCGCGCGCCCTCATGGCCCCAAATTCACGTTATAAATCACGAGCAGTTGTATCAGGCTGACGCCGAGGATTAGGCTTTGGGGTGTTGAGGAATCATTCAATCCATCTCTAGAAAATAAGACCCGTTTACTGGCTTTATGTTGATCACCAACTCCTCTCTGCGTTTACTCTGGCTTTATAAACACAGACCTTTTCATTTTTCATTATGCTATCCCAAATTCCACCACAAATCTGACGGCATTATTATTATTATTATTATTTTATTTTTATTATAGTAGTAGTAGTTGTTGTTGTACGAGTGGTGGTGGTGGTGGTGGTGGTATTTTGGCTACAGCAGCGTTTTTTTTGTGTCATTCCGCAAAAAAAAAAAGGTGACTTGATTTAAGATTTATTTTTATTTAAGCCTTTTTTAAATCTGCTCAAAGGTCGCCAACCATTTGGGTGCCATAAAAACACAAAACGAACAAAAACAAAACAAAAACAGAAAACAGTAGTGGCCTAGCTGTTATAATTCAGGAGAATTAATTCATATTTGTAAAAAATTGAAAAAAAAAACAAATGTCCAGAAAGTGTTTGTAAAGTGTAAAACCATAAAGCCATAATGTAGACACTTTAAATTAATAGAAAAATGCGTAAATATACGACGTCCAGACACGAATCCATAATTTAAAAGTTGTTCTTGAACACTAACACTGCTAATATAATAATAATAATATAATAATAATAATAATAATAATAATAATAATAATAATAATAATGTGGATCGTCTGGGCATCCTGACAATAAACAGACACATAATACAGGATGTGTAGCTCTATAAGCCACGCAGCACCAATAAAAAACATAATTAAAGCCTTTTTGGCTGCAGTTAATCTCTGTGTGTGTTAATGGCAGTCAGAGCAGAAAAATAGGGGTTTATTTCCGTGCTGAAGCCGCTGCTGCCTTTCCACGCTGCCCTGATTGTCGGTGTGACAGAAGACTGTGTCCCTGCTTTTTGTCCCTGTATAGTGTAATAAATAGCAATATGTGTTCATGTTATATTTCAATATCCCCGTTAGAATCCTTCACGGATATATTTATTAGATTGCTACAAAGGTAATATCCGCAGTGGGGAAGAGAGGCGCTGTCACGGAGAAGTGTTATTAAGTATAGATGGTTTTATTATGGGAAACATATTCTCCATGGTAGCATTTTATTTTTTGATATGCTTATGCTAAATTGTATTACCCAGGCAGCAGATTTAGTATTCTCGCCCATTTGCTTTTTCATCTGAGGAAGGGGGAGAAAAAGTCAGGTTTTGTTTTTGCAACATTTCTTTTTCTTTCTTTTCTCTTTTTTTATGGGAACAGGATTTTCTCTCTTTTTTAAAAAATATATAAAGTTGAAGTGTTTTCCAGGCAGTCCAGTTTAATGTTATTGGCTAATTATTCTTCACATAGTGGAAATAATTTTGGAGGATACCAAAAACATTGTGAGGGTTCATGTAAGATTATATATTAAATGTTTTGGGGGTTTAGGAAGGGATTTAAAATCTGTACAGAAATATCCACATCTTTACCTTTTAATGTGTTTAATTCTCACATTAGTCTGATAACTGTTAGAATTTTGAGAAATGTATTTTTTAAATAGATTGATACTCTTTATGTAAGTAGACACTTTACCTTTATAATACCGCAGTGAAAGGTCAGTATAAACACACTGTGTAACACTTAAGCCCACACTGGCTTGATATACTTAGACAAGAATACAGGGTTGTTATGGATTATTTTCATTCATGGAATTTAGGACTGATGCAGCTGAGCGGGGACAGTCTTTTAATTTGATGTTAGTTCAAAATCCAGCTGATTTTGTGCTTTAAGGAGCCCACAAGCTTATACTGTATCTTACAGTCCTATTAATAACAGCAATGGATAAATCTGAAGGCATATCTGATCCCTGAACGGTCTTAGCCTTACACCTTCAGTCAAAACATGAAGCATGACTGATGCTTCCACAGTATCGTATCTTTATCGCCGTTCTGAACACTGTAAGGCAAAGCTTTTCTGCAGTTGGCAGGTCCAAAGCCTCCATGCTACATGTTGTGTTCCACTTGGGTTGCCTCTGAACGTGCTTGTATGTGCCTGGTCCATTAGTTAGCCCACAGATGGCCTGAAATAGCCATCTAATGCAGTATTATTTAGCCAGACCTGCCGCTGGGAGCAACAACAGGCCTGCTCGCTCTCAGCATGTGACCCGTAAGGCCACACATAGTTTTGGGCAATGAGACTCCAACCTAAAAGGACCAATTACAAGCTTTAAATTAGAAACATCACAGAAAAGTCACCTTAAGAATAAGACTGGAAATCATGTGAGGTTTAAAGGCATACGATTAACGCAATAATGTCACTATAAACTCACTATTAAGGGCCACAGAGGTGCTACAGTGTACTGTGAGGACCTTATAGAAATATCAGAAACATCATGGGAAATTTGTCACCATAAACTCATGATTAAATACCATAGATGCCTGTCTACGTCCCAGAAGGAATATTAGAGGGATACAATTACCATTTATACTACTATTGAGCATCAGAGCAACACATAATGTGAAACCTGATAATAATATTATAGGAATATTACCATAGGAGATTAAAAATAATAATTAAAGGAAGAAAAAGAAGACATGGTCACTATAAATCCAATACAAAACACAATAAAAAGGCAGTGAGTTTTCATTTCAGGCACTAAATCTGCATTGCTAATTTACACTCAGGTAATGTTAACTTTATGTGACCTACTGTAACAGCACATTGCAGCTATTCATCTTTATTTTACAAATCATTTGCTCGCATACGCCTCAATTTGCCACTCGTGTTCAGCACCATCAGGGGACGTCGGCAGCTCCCTGGAAATGACTGCCGAGCGCGTAATAGCTTCATGTTCCATTTTCCATCCAAATTGTCATCGTCTGTGTGGCAAATGAATTTTTCAGGTCGCTGAAACTCTGCGAGCATTGCAGCAGAAGCACGTGGCCCTCGGGGGGACACCTATGCAGATGTTTTCATATTCATTTTGGCTTCTGGTGAGCTTTCCTGACAAAACAAAAACAAATAAACACCCTGTAAGACAGGAGGCAAAACAGCTTGCTGGGGAGGAATGACACAAAGATACAGGGAGAGGGAGAGAAAGAGACAGAAACTAGTCTTTTTTTTCTACGGTTGATTTCCATTCCGCCTCAAAATGAGAATGTGGCTGGGGAGTGGATCTATGGCCAAAAACGATCTCATTACATTTATCGATCTTCTGTTTACCCATGGCTGACAAAATAGACAGGATTCATAGATATTTTATGATGCAGAAGATAAGTTGTTATTAATACCCAGATACAGTGATATGTGAAAGTGAACCACCAGGCAGTGAGGCACAGATGGAAGAATAATATAAAGTGTGTTCATATTTTTGAATGACATAGCAGTTAAGAAGACTCAAAACAGTCCGGTCAATACATATACATTTGATTTATTTCAAAGAATAAATATATGCCTCAAATTCAACATCTGTAAAATATAGGTGGTCTATAATTCTGCAGAAATGATTGAAAGTTGTGTAATTGTGTATAATCAACCATGTAATGTCACTGTTTGGAGTTTTAATAACAAATGCTGAATGTTTGTATGAAAATTTTTACATTTGATTTTTCTGATGGCAAAAGTTGACCCCAAATTACAAAAAATGTACTGTGCAAGCTAGAAAGTCTGTGAATGGCACTTACTAGTAGGTAAATATTACCAGTATGTGCTCGATTTATCTTTGTAAACCTGCCAGTTGTCACTTATTTTTCTAAATGGCAGATATCTCATTTTGTAGCTAAACCTTTCCAAATGCTAACTTAAGAGACTAGCAGTAAATGATATTAAAGTAGACCCAGCTCATCATTCAGACTTCCTTCATGTGATTAAGCTGCTGTGCGTCGGCGCCTGCACAGCGGCTGCTGCTGCTGCTGTGCTCCAGATGTGGGACCTTACTGTGTCTCCCTTTCCTTTAGGGGAGCAGGGAGAGGAGAGCCGAGTCGGAGAGGCCACAGGGGGGCCGGGGCCTGCCGGGTCCCTCTGTCCTCTCCCCAAGGGTGACATCGGCAGGGTCCCCGTCTGGAGCACTGTGGAGACATTAGCCAAATGCTATTACCCCGAGCTCGCTCACCTGCGAGACGGCAATGGCCTTCTAGCAGACTATCCTTTCTCAAAGGGGGCTTGCCCAGGTGAGTCACCCCCTCCTCCCCCCCTCTTGTGTGCAATGTAGATATGTCTTTGTGTGTAAAAATGTAAAAAAAAAAAAATCTTGATCTTGACTCATTGCCATAGTTTTACAGTAGGAACACAATTTACTGCCAGTTGTTAGCGATATCTTTTCTTGAATAGCTTTTGGAACTGATGCTGCATATCCCGGCTTTCTAAATGACTTTTCCTTGTACTTCCTTTCTGTACAACCCAGTGTGCTGTTTGGTTTTCAGAATCTGGCAGCGGAATATTAGTTGTAATTACATTTATCTTCTTCAATTGGCAGCTTCTGGGCCTTCTCTTAGACTCCCCAAACACACTGGCTTTTCCAGAGTTAAGACAAAATGGACAATCATTTTATCTACTCAAGGACGGGAAAACAAAATTGTGTTGAGCGTATACAAAAAAACCTCAAGGGAAATAAGTTTAAATTTCAGAAGCACAGATCATTCCAGTTTAGAAATGGAAATAACTGCTTACACTAACAGTTATTAATCTTGAACCCTTAAAGTCCAAACACCTCAATTACTTACATCAACCTTACTGCTAACGCTAACATGGATTTCCTTTTTAAAGAATCACTTGCTTGATGTTCAGAGCTCCAGTGAAATGCTTAAGAATCATCAAACAAAATCTCTATAAATCCTCTCTCATTTTTTGCCCTTTTCAGCTGCCCTCTCACCCTTCTCTGTCACCCGTCGTATCGGCCACCCATATCAGAACCGAACGCCGCCCAAGAGGAAAAAGCCTCGCACCTCCTTCAGTCGGGTGCAGATCTGCGAGCTGGAGAAACGCTTCCATCGGCAGAAGTATCTGGCGTCGGCTGAGCGCGCCACCTTGGCCAAGGCCCTGAAGATGACAGATGCACAAGTCAAGACCTGGTTTCAGAACAGACGGACAAAATGGCGGTAAGATTGCAGCAGGGGTGTTCCTTCATGTAGTGTTATCTGATGCAGTTCAGTGTCTTTTACTGGTGTGAAAGTAGACAATAGTAAAGCTGAAGCATCATAATTCTCTCTTCCACGTGCCATGTTTTGCTCATTTCTTCTCCCTCATGATCTATCTGAGCAAAACAAGAGCCTGTGGTGGATTTTCCAGAAGCTGTTTGTCTTTATGAGGGCAGGATGTTCACTCAGAAGAGCCACTCCTTCCAATTTTTCTTATGCCATAAATCAGCAGCGCTGAGTGTGTCTGTGTGTTGCTCTTGGATCCAAAATGCTTACCGGTGTTTTACTTCAAACACGAGTAAAATGGCCCGCCGGCTGAAGCTTTCGAGACGTTGTACAACACAACACCTATTTTGCTTAGCCTAGCTGCCAGTCAAGGCCAGTTCACTTGACCAAGCACAATTACTCCTGAGCCTCCTGAAAGGCCTTTTAGAAACCTGCTGTCCAAAGCAATACTGAAACACTCACAGGAGGAATTGACTGCCAAGTCCATAGACAGAAAAATACACACACACACACACACACACACACACACACACACACACACACACACACACACACACACACACACACACTCCTTCACTTCATTCTAACTGTTGTTTATAGCCATTTGGAGGTAAATGAGTAGGAAATCAAATTATGAAGCCCTGCCCGTAGTTAAAGGGACAGGACACATATTTCAAAAGCACATTACGAACAGCTAATGACCTTTTAGGGTTTTAATGTTTAAATGATCCTAAAGCTTTTTAGAATAGGTTTTGTATTTACTACTCATAGAAAACACTTACAAATGTATTTTTCTTAGGCTGATTAACATTTAATAATTACTTTATCAGCTTGTTTGTCTTCAATAAATGACACTGGTTACATGAGTCCTGATAATACCGTAACAGAGGTGCATTTATTTAAGAAGAAAAAAAAACCATCCAATGGCAGTGAAAAACCAAGACCCATTTTCCATGATAAGATGTAAATTAGCTTAAGATAAACGCCACCAAACTAAATGTAAGACTGAGCAGCATGTCACAAGTAACAAGGGAATTGGCTTAACTGGTTTTTCTGATTTCCTAGTTTTGTTGAGATTTATGTCATTTCCCTGTAGTGTGCACCCGATAGGATGAGCATGAGGGATGTCTTTGCGTGACGACTACGCTAGTAACAAGAGGATGATCAAATCAACAGCCGGGGAATCAGATTATGATAATTCTGTTAACAATAATGTGTGGCTAATGGATGGAGGTTGGTGTGCATGAAAGAGCGTTTCAGAGGTGTGTTTCCGCTCGTGATTTGCATTTCATTGTCGATTTTGACGGCAATTATTTATTTATTATGGTTCGGGTTATTAGTAAGACCATCATGATTTCAAAATAGATAAGAAAATTCTTCATTGTGCATTAATCTGCATTGCTGATGAGGACTGTTCAGATCATTTCTTGGCTAAAGTTAACACATACAGAGGATAGAAGGTCCTCATTACCATGAAAGAATCTGTCAGAAGAATCTGTTTGAATATGAAAGAAACTTCAACTCAAGAGAGGGAAAAAATGATAAACAAAGGCAGTATTTCATCTACTCTGTAGACCACAACGGCAGCACAATTTGTGACTTCCACAAATTCTTAAAACATTTGCATATTTTTCCCTCCTCTCATGTATTTATCTTCTCGGCTCACTTTGCTTTATTTCATCCTGCTAACTCAAAGTATACTGATCACTAAAAAGATACTTTCCAATATGAACACGGCAACTTTTCCATTAAAAGGATGTATCAAAAAATACATTCATCGGTGCTACCCCTCAACACAGCCTCTGACACAATATGTTACTGTTAACATATGCTGTTCTGAACAGAAAAACAAAACAGATGTTAGGTTTCACCTTGAGGCAGGAAGTTTTCTGTACCTCCTCCCCCTCCATTAGTCACGTTCCCACTCTAACACCTGTCACTCATCCTGATCAGCTGTCATCTGGCCTGAAGCTGAAGTTGCTGGCACAGGTGTTCAGTAGACATAGCCCATTTGAAAATGAACAGGTTTCATTTGCAAATTTCCAGACACACCAATAACTGTGTTGCTTTTCTTTTCACCGCTTTGCTTCCTGATTTCTTTAGTCTTTGACTTTCCCTGCCTTTTGACTGCTTACACAACCAGCTGCCAAAGAAAATGTCATGAAAAACAATGGAAATCCAGTTTCCAGCTGGTATTCTTTCTATTTCCAGATACAGGATGCTGCAGCTTGTATTACAGTGTTATTATTTTGCTCGTAATCATTTATTTATTAATGTTTTTTTAAGAGGAGCTACAGTACATCATCAGACTGATATCCTTTCATGCATGGTTTACAACAAAGCTAAGCTAAATCTATTTTATACACTACATTTACTACACTACTTTTTTTTTTTTTTTAGATGTGTGGATCTTAAGTCATCAATCAAGAAAGAAATCTTAAAAATATAACCATAATTTTTGTAGCAGAATGTTTTTCTGCTTTCCTAAAATATATATCTCACACCCCTCAGATCTAACTTAACAACCCCTTGTAGATTCCTGACCTCCAGGTTGGGAACCACTATTCAACAAAGAAATTTATATTGCTTCTTTATGAGAATATGGAACAATTCATTGTGAACACTGCTGTGCTATTAGTCAATCTTGTGTCCCCGTGCCCTATAAGAATGAAACATTATATAGGTCTTATATCTTCCTCTGTTCCCCTTTTGTCTCCACCATCCACCCAGGAGACAGACTGCGGAAGAGAGGGAGGCCGAGAGGCAGCAGGCCAACCGACTGATGCTGCAGCTTCAGCAGGAAGCTTTCCAGAAGACGTTGAGCCAGCCCCTGCAGCCGGACCCGCTCTGCCTGCACAACTCCTCCCTCTACGCCCTGCAGAACCTGCAGCCCTGGGCAGATGACAATAAGGTGACCTCCGTCACCTCTGTGGCATCTGTAGTGTGAGCGTGTGTGTGTGTGTGTGTGTGTGTGTGTGTGTGTGTGCGTAGAAGAGGAGGAGAAGTGAAGGAGGGAGGGAGAGAGAGACAGAGGGAGGGACAAAGCTGGGAATGATGTGTTTATCAAAGTGTCGTCACAGTGGACATAAGGGAGGAATCTCTTCAGTCTATTGCTGACGTGTCTGACGTTCAAAAACGCGGCACCATTATGGGATTGTCATAGATACGGGAGAATAATGCTTGCTTTGGAAAAAATAAAATAACGAATTGAATGGACATTGTGCTTCCTCAAACATTGATATCATTACCAGCAGCGTGTGTAGAGAGTTAGCTCTCTGTTACTGCCAAGACCCGCAAAACACTGTATGCGGATTCACAGCACAGGAGCCGCACTGACATTGCTGTTTGTCACAATTAAGCAAGCCTACAACTGTTATCTTAAATATCTGAAGTATGTTGAGTCATTTTCCTGCCTTACACCAAGTTTCCGCTTTCCCTTCAGCTGACGGTCTAAAAGAGAGAAGAGGGCACTTTATCCTTAAGTGCCGGGAAACAAATGGACACCTCTGTACATGCCCAACTATCAAGACTGTACCCCCCTTTTTGCCTCTGGATCCCCTCACGAGGCAGCAGAGACTCTCTGCCAAAGGTGGCAAAAAAAAGACCTCCTGTTTTTTCGCTTTTGACTTTGTACAATGTAGTAAATGCATGTTTCAACCCTTTTCTGTGTGCACTCGGAAGTACCATTGAAGTCAGCTGCCGTGGAGGTGGACTGCAGTGTTCAAGTGGTAGTGGATTGGTGGAACTCCTGATGACGAATTCCTCATTATGTTCAATTTAAAGGTGTTTTATATTAAATGATATTGTGACTTTTTGAAAAAGATGACAAACCTCTCTGTTTTTCTTCCCTCTCTTTGTCTCGCTGGGTCCTCTTGCTCACGGCCTGTTTGTTGTTTGTCACCATTATGAAAACCATGCAATAATACTTTATGATTTTAGTGAGCTAGTTAGCCTCATGGGAGTCAGCTATGATTACACATTAAAGTTTCAAACCACCCAAAGGTAAGATACCGTCGAACCGTATCAGAAGGACAGCGCAATACCTTTTTTCTCTCCATAAAAACTGATGACTACAGCTCCCAGGTGTGAGTGTGAAGGAGGGCGTTGCCGAAAAACAAGCAAGCGTGCTCAGCAAAACCCTCCCTGGATAAATAAAGGTTTGAAAACTGATGCCAGCTCAAATTAGAATGAGAGAAAGAGAAAGTTGTGCAGCTGCCAAGTGAACATTTGAAATGCAGCCGTCAGGTTTTTGTTTGTGTTTTTGTTACATTCCAGGGATTCTCATGGAGAAGGAAACACAAAAACAAATTAGAATGGATGGTCAAGTAGAGTCAGTTTTATTTATACAGCCCAATTTCACAAATCACAATTTGCCTTAAGGGGCTTTACAATCTGTGCAGCATAGTCTTTCCTTTAACAGGAAAAAACATAGAAGAAACCTCAGGAAGAGCTCTGCACACTTAAACGTGCTGTAAGTAAAATCTGCAGGCAACTTCCTCCCCTACGGCACCACACTGAAAATCTGCCACCTGCCCCCGAGGGTTGCCTCTTTGCAGTGTTCTCTCACCTGATTGGATAAATTGCAAACAGGATACCAGAAAATGCATTCTCTATTTTCTGCACAGAGGAAGGACTGGGAGACACATACTAACTGAACACCCTTATATGAGTGATGGCTGTCGGATTGTATGGCTAATAGTTGTATTTCACACTTATTTTAACAAAACATTATCACTTACAGCCCTCTGACGCCTTCATTCTTGCACAGTGTAAAAAACAAAAAACAAAAGATGTTCAGTCTCAGCTAACTAGAAGCCGTACTTTGATTAGACTTCTCTATTTGCGTTACGCTCTGCTTCCAGTCAATCAGCTGACATCTACAGGAGGAATGGAAATCTCTTCCCTAAAACAATCACCCGATTGTTTGAGGCTGGACGAACTTTATCATCATCGAACTTCACCTGACAAACGTTATCATCACATCCATGTTTCTTTCACTCAGGTGGATGTTGTTTACTTGGGACAGGAGTTTCGTTTGAGCTGGCTAAAGCATGAGGTTTGAAAAAATCTAAAATACGAGTAGATGCCGGGGAAAATGTCAGCTATGTACACATAGGCTACAATCTTAGATGACACCAGTGTGATCTTTTTTGAATGCTAGCTCACAAACCATTTTTGGCACTGGCTTCCATTGTTGTCTTGGTAAACCATGGCCACATAGACAACAGACAGCCATAAACATTTGTTATCGCCACATCCACCGTATCATGCAAATGCTTATCACAAGCAAGTCATAACAAAAACGACCGATCTAGAAGCACGGTAAACACATCACTCAGGTTCCCTGCCCGTAAATGAGCCGCCACCGCCATGAATGTCACAGGAAATGGGCCTTGCTGTGCTCAACTCCTTGACAGCAAGTCACTCCATTTCAGTTTGGACTGTGAGCATATGTCAACCTTGTGTTAATCTTGGCTGTACCTTCTGCTGACAAATACCTATCACAGGCCTTTATGGCAGACATCTTGTACCTTTTGTTGGGATATCAACGCCGTCTGACTGCTTGAGCCTCCGAGCTCTTGCTCAGAGCAGGTTGATGATCTGGTTCGAAACAGCTGTCTGCAACTGCAGCCACCCCCGACAACCCCCTGCTTTTTCTAAAACACAACGCCTACGTTCTGTCAGGTTTTCGGAGCGTCTTGCCTGGTTGGGATCTTGTCAGTAGCAGGCAGTTCTCCAGGTGACGCCTCCTCAACCCCCATTTCCTCCGCTCCCTGGAGCTTTCATCTCTCTGTCTCGGATGCCTTGAAGACGTGACTTGGCCCATTCCAGCAAAATTCCTCTCTTTTACTGTTTTCAAAACCGTGCATTGTGTTTTCCTACAGGTGCTTAAAGATTTTTCTCCTCTCTTGTCATGGCTCTGTGTTTTTCTCCCCCCCCCAACACACTCTAGCCGCCAAGCAGCCCTGTCCTTATCCAATAAAATGTCACCACACAAGATGAACAAGAGCAAGAGGCTCAGAGTATATCAGACTTCCTATCAAGCACTGTGTTTTGAACAGGGACACCAAAAAAACACTATTCACCACACAAGCTGTGTTGTGCTCTGTGTCACGCGCTGTCTGCTCCCATCAGTTATTTCCATCCTTGAGAAACGCAGTAAACATTTAATTCATTTTCAGGCAGCGGTTGTAGCTTCAGTGATCCAGTGAGTTGACTGCTGCTTGATTTTGAAGTTTGATTGCTTAAGAGAAGCTGGTAGACCTCCAGCAGGTGTCTTATTTTATACTGAATGGTCACTTTGTAGCATTTTTCAGTCCAACAGTCCAATTGTTTTTTACTTACTGTAAAAGTTCAATTAATAGCACAGGACAGGCCTTTAATTCCTGTGGCACAAAACTCTTACTCTTACTAAAGATTGGAATACTATCAAACTGTTTATTTAATTAAATTAGAATATCAAATAACATATCAATTACAAATCATTCATTTGGTACTTTGGTGCTCATTATTTCTTTGAATTGTGGAGAATCATCAGACCAGACGTCTAACTGGGACCTTCCTTTTAATTGAAGTTTTATGTATATTCAGTTTAGATGTGATGACTCAGTCTTGTGTACGTTGACTTCCATAGAAAAGATTGTTGTGTTACGTGGTAAGCAAGTCATACCAGAGGGAAAGGCTCACGCATATATGCATGGGGGCTTGGGACAAAATAGCGTTAGGATTTTATTCCCATTAGGTAATCCAGAAATGTTCAGCGCTCATTGTGTCTGTTTTAATGAAACATATACCAAGCAAAGAGCATGTTAGAATAAAGATCAGCTGTAGAACAGTTTATTTAACATGTTTATTTAACTAGTGCTTGAGGGCCAAAATGTTCAGTGGGATTATCTACATGTAGATCCGCAATTATACAACACAAACACACAACTAACACAAGCACAAGCATGATATCAAAATGTGTTTTTTGTTTGTTTGTTTTTTCTTTACTTGAGACCAGATGTTATAATATGAGTCCACAGTTCTAACAGACATTTTCAGGATCATGACAGCTGCTGTAACCACAAGATTTGGTAAAGGCCGCCTCAGACTTCCAAACTCTATTACCTAATGTATTGACACGCAAGGCTTTGTTGACAAAAGGCTTCTATGGTTCTTGACTTTTAAATACTGCTATGGTCCGTTGTTTGAATTACTTAGATTGCGTATTGCACAGGAAATCTAATGTAGAAGGACAAATATTGTTGTGGTGTGTTTGCTCTGAATCAATAACTACGGCAATAAGGCCACCTCATGATGTGCGATGATCTGTGCAGTTTACCTCTAATGTTTGGTCAAGTATGAAGCACTCTTGCAAGAAATATTCATAAACAGGTTTTTACATGTGTGTGGGTTGTGGAAATCCTGGGGCACAAATGAAAATCACAGAGTAGTTTTGCTCCACTAGATGTGAAAAACTAAACACATTTACTCTCTGAACTAGTTTCAACTCTGATGGAAAGTTTGAGCTTTGTATTCAATCTGCAAAATGAGAAGATTTTACATCACGGGTATTTCACAAGCAATTTTCCCAGAACCATTTATTTTTGATCCATTTCATTGAATCAACATTAGTAATGACTCAGAAAGACAATGCTCTGGTGATAGGTGTAATGGCCCCATATAGTTCAGTTTGGTTATTGTGTCTTCAAATGTATTATTCCTCAGGAAATAAATATGGTTCTTCATGATGTTCTGTGGCTTCTTTTAATTCAAATAAGGTATAACCCTCCTGAGTGGTGACTGTCTGTTTGAAATGATGGTAACTGGTTTGGCTAGACAGATTAACTGTTTTGTTTTTGAATAAAGAGAATTAAAAAATAAATCTGGGTGGCTGAAAAAAATGCCCTTAAAAAAATATTCTAATGCCTAAACTTCTCAAAAGAGATTCAATTTAGGCCACGCTGCACACACATACACACAAGACAATTTGAATTCATAGAGGACATTTAACAAAATGTTCATACCTACAGTGATTCTGTATGGCGGAGAAGTGGAGGTGAACAAGGTTGAAAATGCTTTTTCTTAGTACTGCAAGTCATCATATTTTGGACTGATGATCATTAAGAGACTATTGGCTGCTGTAGCAGGAAAATCCTGCAGCATCCAGTCACTTCCAGCTGATTCAGGCGAAGAATGAAGAACTCTTTCTGCAGCCTGACGGCATGACAGAGGCTTCAGAGCTGACTCACCCCGCTGATGTGACACGCTTCCATGATTCTCTCTCCCCTTCTCAGTACCACATATGTACACACGCTCACATTTGCACGTATTCATATACACCTACAAAGAGTCACACTGCATTTTTAGCATAAGTACAATGCAGGGAGAAAAAGCAAGCATGCACATGCTCACACACAAACACCTAGCAAAGAGCATGTGTACACACAAATCTGAAAATATCAATCTTATATAGTGCTAAGTAGAAAGTAAGTATTGTAAGTGGAAATTTTGTAATAATTAATTGTTTTATTCTGAAGTTAATCAATTTTATGTTAGATTTGTCCAGTAGGGTAAAATTTGGTAGTGTTAATTGCAA